CGCTTGGGAACCCTGCAGCCCAATGGTATCAATGTGGATTTCACAAGTTTCAAAATCTCCCCTCCCCCCACCGCATCCCAAAACCAGTCCAGCTCGTCCCTGCCTCCCTAACCTGTTCTTCCTCCCACCTATCCCCTCCTCCCACCTCAAGCCGCACCTCCATCTCCTACCGACCAACCTCATCCCGCCCCCTTGACCTGTCCGTCCTCCCTGGACTGACCTATCCCCTTCCTAACTCCCTACCTACACTCACCTTTCCTGGCCCCATCCCCGCCTCTTCGACCTGTTTGTTTCCTCTCCACCTATCCTCTCCTCTATCCATCTTCTATCCGCCTCCCACTCTCTCCCTATTTATTTCAGAACCCCCTTCCCCTCCCCCTTTTCTGATGAAGGGTCTAGGCCCGAAACGTCAGCCTCTCTGCTCCTATGATGCTGCTTGGCCTGCTGTGTTCATCCAGCCCTGCACCTTGTTGTCATGAAATTGTTGAGCTGTTTTATTTCACGTGTGAAACAATGGCATGACAGTTACAACCAGTCTCCCTGACTTCAATTCAAGATAACTCATCTTCGTGTGATATCTTTGTAAAATGTTCAGTGTGCCATTCAACACCACCCTAGTGCAGTGCTCGACTTAAACAAGATGAACTTTCAACTAACCCACTGAATTTTCTTTGAGCCAAGCTTATTCTGTTTAAAACTTAACTTTGTTAAAAGATCAGCCACAATGGGTGTGGCTTGGTTACCAAGTGCTGAGGCAACATACATTCCATAGAACCCTTAGGTGGAAACAGGCCATTCGGCCCAACAAACACACACTGACTCTCTGAACAGCATCCCAACCAGACTCATCCCCCTACCCTATCTCTGTAACCCTGCATTTCCCATGGCTAATGCACCTAACCTTCCTGAACATTATGGGCAATTTTAGCACAGCCAATCCACCTAACGTGCACATCTTTGTGACTGTGGGAGGAAACCAGAGCACCTGGCAGAAACCCACACAGACATGGGGAAAACGTGCAAACTCTGCACAGACAGTTGCCCGAGGGTAGAATCGAACCCGGCCCTCCGACGCTGTAAGGCAGCGGTGCTAACCACTGAGCCACTGTACTGCCCTTGTAGAAGTCTGGAGGAAGCAACAATTTAAATTTAACTCATTGACATTTGAACCATCATCTCAGGAGCTCTTTTACAGTATTTGGTAAAACACAATGCTTTAATAATACATTTAACTCTGACTCTTTTTCTAGCTCCTTTCTTTGGAACTCCAAAAGCAAGATTAGGCATGAGGCTATTGAGTTCTGGAGATATGCAATGGTGTTAAAGACATTGAGGTCAATTAGCATTTGAAATAAAGACACTTGGTTACAATTACTTTATTTCCGGGGAGCCAGGAGGGTTTACACTGCATTTACTTGTAACAAATACTCACGGGTCCTGTCTTTATTCCAGGCATGACAGCTGATTGGCTCAAGCAGGAAGCTGTGGTAAGACATTGCTGTTTGTCTGGAACTAAAGCAGATGGAGAGAATTAGTAGTGACTGGAGCCACACATTGATATAGAGACAGAATAACCAGTGGTTTCATGATGTTCTAACAACTCTGGCACGCATTAATGGGCTTTTCGTAGCTTTAAATAAAATATTTATATCCAGCTTACAAGATAGAACAGGGGTCATCCATTTGCTACACTCCCAAAGCTATTTCTCGGACATTTTTCAGAAACTCCTGGTCACAATTGTGGAATTTTTTTGATTAAGATTTGGTGCTGATTGTCGTATTTCTTATTTCCCATTCAGAAGTCATGACAGATACCCAATTCCTCACGTGAGACACCTTTCATCCACAATGCCGATGGGCATGTTTGCAACTCATGGCTGTAGCAACAGGGGTGTGTATATACACAGACTAGTTTGATCTTGTGGTCTGACACCTGAACAACTATCTTTAACTTTTATATAGCAGCTAAGCTATAGTCAGGCTGTACTTGTCATAATGACAACATCCTCTGTATGCTCAGCTATGTCTTATATGCATCTCACTAGGAACAGGGAGTAAACCTGAAAAATTAATTTTGTTTTAAAAACTACATCCAGATTTTCATCAATGCCAATCATTAATATTTTTGCAATAAAAAAAATTAACATTTACTCTCAAGTTTTAAATACAAGCTGAAGATCGCCATTTTGAACATTATGCCCATGAAGGCCTTTTGAAAGGTCTAATTGGTCCCACTCCCTTACTCTTGCCCATAGCCTGGCAAATTATGTTTTGAGTTATATGTTTCTGACCATTTTTTCCTTCCCAAGACTGTGACAAGTCCAAAATATGCCACGTGATGGTGGCTTCACAGGATGGATGCTGACTGGAGGAATCCAGACCTGTTGGGGAGTGGGTTGACATTAAGGGGTTTCCCATTTCAGATGGAAATATAGGAATGTCTCCACTCAGAAGATTGCTAGTCTTTGAATTCTCTGGGATAAGGATTATTAAATGTATTCAAGGCTGAGTTAGGCAGTTTAGATTTACTAGCAGTTAAGGGCTATGGGGGCAGGCAGTGATGAAGGACAGGCAGTGCAATTGAGATAAGCTCAAAATCTGATCAGCCATGATCCTGCCAGAAGGCGGAACAAACGTCTACTTACAGTCATATGTGCCATTCTTCATTTCAGAGCCCCACCAGTGACTATTCAACTGTAAACATCATCACAGCTTAGTTTAAGCTATTTCATGTTCAACAACAATATCCAGTAATTTCTGAACAGGAGTGAGAATATTGACTGATTTTTCCCACCCAAATCAACAGCATTGCTACCAACTATAACATCGAGGTCAGTGAGCTTAACCTCAGGAATAATTGAGGCTTGAAAAACTCTGTTACCCAATTTAAAATGATCTCAATTACAATCTTTATTCTTTCAGGAGTCATTCTAAAGTCTAGAATAGGTTGACACGACAGTTGAGGTGAGCCAGGATATCAAAATAACTAAAGTATCTAGCAGGGAACAGAGAAACAAAAGCAATTCATGTTATTACTAATCTTCAAAATAGACTGTAGACCATCTATTTGATGCAACCAAATTCTCCACTTTTCTCATTAGCAAAAAAGTGAACAATGATACAGACTCTACACATTGAACTATATCAAAACATAACTCTCAAACACTGTATCCAATGCTTCATTCTATTAGCTTAGAACTTTAATGGAGATACAAGGTATTTCTATGGCTTTAACACAGCAGTATTCAAGTAATTAACAGAAGGCTTGGGTTTAAATTCCAGTCTTGAAGCCTAAACTACTTCAACAACTACTTCCAAATCTGTCACCTCTTGTCAAGCGCAGTAAATGCATAGGTACATTAATATCTTCAAATTTCCCTCCAAATCACCCACCATATTAAATTTGGCACACACAGTAATGCCATTCTGTCGTCGCTGCTGATCCAAACTCATTACTTTAAACCTAACAGCATCTTGCCAGTATCTTGTTGGCCATTCAAAGCAGCAGCTCACCACTACCTTCTCAACGGCATCCGCAACAGGCAATAAATGCCAGTCTTTCCAGTGACACCTACATCTCAATTATTTTGTTTATCAGGAGAAAACAGAGAGAGAGAGACACCCATCAGTTTAGGGGAAACTGAGATGTTCCAAAGGCCTCAACATTTTTGGACAAGACTTGGATTGGGAACAAAGGAAGGACATGGAGTATGCTGGTTTATTACTGAGTCTTTACAGCATCCTAATAAAAAAGTGAACACTGGAAGGTGGAAAAGATTGCAGTCTCCAAAACACAGCTCAAAGAACTGGAGGTTAAATTGCCCCGTAATTTTTCAGGAGGGAGGGAATAAAATCTAGAAAGAGATTTTGTTGAGCTGTTTAAATATATTTTTAAAAATGATAGGTATCAATGTTCCTAAAGTAATTCCCATCAGAATTAAATGAATGAAACATCAGTCGCCACCTTACTCTCCCCCAAAACAAGATGCTTTACATCCACCCAAGGGGATAGACAGGGCATTGGTTTAACATCTCATTCAAGATGGCATCCCTGGCAAATCAGCACTCCATCAGAGCCAGTCTCCCTTGTCGTGCTCAAATCTGGCAGCAGAATGTAGAACTTTCTGACTCAGAGAGGGGTGTGTCATAGACCGAGTGTTAAGTAATGCTGTAGCATATATATAAAAAAAGGCTGAACAGAAACATGCCTAAGGAACAGAAGATGTCTTTTCACTGACTAATGGTTTCCACTGTTCCAACCCACTGCTGACCACAGCAGCCATATCTATAACATCCTGTTGCAGTGCATCACTCCTGCTCCTCCGAGCACTCCACGCTTACACCACATTTTCCAGAGAAATCCAATCCGGGTTCACAGTGCTGGTTACGAATTCTTTCCTAATGCTCCATGCCAGAGCAAACAGGGGCTGAGCATCGAAATTCCATTTTCACTTCCCAAAAGTAAAATGACTGCAACCTTAAAAATTGCAATGTGAAACTGCCCAATCGTGCATCGCTTAGACCACACAACCTGACAGGTGGAGCTGATAATTCATTTAGCACATAAGGAGTTAAGTCGACATATTTGAGTGGTTGTGAACAATAAAAAAAAATCCAACTCGTGAATGTTTCTCCCATGGATTAGAAGTTCCAGTTTCCCCGCATCTTTAGCTTCTACGGTTTCAACGGGACACTGTTCGGGTGATACTGGAAATACTTATAAACTCCCGTCTTCCATTTGATCGGTTTCTGCAGTACTAACCGTCCTGAAAGTTCCTGCTAACTGGTTCATAATATACCATTTCCCAGACACAAAATGAACAAGATTGTTACTTCCTCTGCGACAACGTGGAGTAATTTCTTGGAACAAATATGGCATTTAACTACAAACACTCATTACAAATTCCTGCCCCACAGTCAATACTGAAAGGCTTCAGTGAAAGAAGCTCTTACGCAAACAAACTGACAGCCCGCGCTCTAAATGGAGACATCCAAAATAGTGAACTTACCTGCACAAGAAAACACAATGAAGCAGTTAAGAAGAAATGTAAATCACTGAATTTTTTTTATATGAAACAAAGAAGTTGCCTCAGTTCATGGACTCTGTTCCGTCAACATGAACGGCTGTGCAGTGGCTCCAGCAAAGAAAAGGGCTGAGAGACTGCTGCACTGAGAAGCTTCCTCTACTTCCCCTTCCTCTCAGAGATCCGACCACTTCCTGATGTGGGCGGCTGACTCTTCCACCAGCTGCTTTCACATGAGTCTGTAACTGCAGCAGGGCTGGGCAAGTCTCCTCCCTCCCTGCTTGCTTGGTTCATACGATTCTAGTAGGCACCCTGCACACAAACCACTCAGCCCTGTGCTGTAGCAAACTCATTAACTCTCTGTGGGTCATAATGGAAATGCTACATCGAACTAAAACGGATACAGTACAGTTATAAGATTCTCATTGTATTCAGCGAGCACCAGTTACTCTTAAAAGCTGTTTTGCTTCTTGTGTATTTCTTCAGTTTCAATATGAAGTCATTGAGTCTACTGGCTCTTTGCAACTGCTGATCAATTAACTGCTAATCTGTTCATAAAATCAGCCTCCAACTCTGCTGTTAAATAGCAGAGGAGTGGGGCTGTTGCATGAAGGAGTAAGGCTCCTTGGGTAGTATTGGTATTGTACTAGCAGGCAGGGGGAGGAAATTCCAATCCAATGTGCTAATTTTGCAAATCTTAGATAGGCAGACATTGAAGTATTTTACGGTTTTTGGACTGGGACAAGGAGGAGCGGGAAGGCAACATCTCTGTCCTGCTTGTTCTCCAATGTCCATGTTAACTAGCTGCAGAAACACTGGCTGAGCATGGTTGCCACTGTATCATCCTGTGTGACCAAATTCAGTCAATGCTCACTGGCTGACAAACTTGATAAGAGATGCTTTTGCATTGTCAGCTGAAGCTCAGGTGGTATCATTCCCACCTTGGAGTCAGAGGATTGCCAATTCATGATCTATTTTAAGCACAACATCTAGGCCAGCATACCCCAATCTTTTTCCCACCGTAAGTCCATTTCTAGACTTAAAATTGTTGTGACTTAGTGAGAACTGGGGTGGAGGAGTGGGGTTTTGGGGGGGTTGGTAGTTTCAGATAAAACAGGAACCTCTTAGAAACGATCATGCTGCTAGAACTTGGAGCTCCATGGCAGATTTTGCTGCCTCAGAGCTGACAGCCCCAAAATTTCAGCTCATGATTCCACTTTATGGCCCCAACAACTCCCCCCACCCCCCCCCTCCACCCCCTCTCCCCCAAAGTGCTAATGTTTTGAATTAGTTCAAGAATTCCAGTTTAAAGATAAACCACGAAGCAATGATGCAATGGATGAGAGGTCCAGGAACATTAAAAGTGAAGTTGGGATACACATGAACAAAGATGGGAGGTGAAAATAAGTGTAGAAGATCCAGGATTTGAAACTTAGCCAAGCGTTTCTTAAATTTTTTTTCAAAAAAATCTGTTTAAATTTCTGGTATTGCTATTAAAATAAACTTACCACATTATTATTCAACTCGCTCACCAAATGCTGTTGAAGATATCAAGGGTAAAAAATAGTTAATCACTAAGGAACGTTTTGTATGTTGTAAGACACCTGGCCTGAGCACAGCAGTGTTGAAATGGGCAAGGATAGCACAGGTGCCAGCTCACTGGCATAGGGCCTTCCATGGGTTCACTGCAAACAACTCACACAAAACTTTAGTGAGGCAACCTACAAAGGAATGCTGATGGGGTGGGATTGAGCAAAAATCTCCATCATAAAATACTGAACAAGACTCTGGACTTTTCAAACCTTTTAAAAGTAAAGCGGTCAGCTGGGCTGAGCTCTGGGAAAAATATACAAACACAGAGATGGCTGCTTAGAACCAACGTTCAGCCTGGGATTCCAATTTACACCTCCACTCTAAGAGATCAACCTATTAAACCTAACACTCTCGATCAGAACTAACTTTTACACCTTGGGCTACCCAGCACAAGCAGTACGGGGCCTATACTGATACCGAACATTGAACTTCAATCAAAATCCATTTATACATACTCAACTATTGGGAAGACAACTGATTTCAGAAGGAAACACCAGGAACACAAAGGACAACACAGATTTGTTAGGGGATAACCGGGCACTTAGTCTGTATAACTGCTAGCCCTAATCTGACCTGAGGGGAGAGCTTTTTCAACAATAAACTCCTGCATGAACAGCTTCCCCACAGGGTTCCAGCCCCAACATGCAGCTTCAGAACTAAGAACCGCAGAGGACGAACAGAAACTGAATCGGCAACCCTAACCAAGAGCACCATCGCAACAAAAGACATCCAAAAGGGGGGAAGCAAACCAAGCGCAATCCGATAAAGAGCTTCCAGACACAGGTCTGTTCCGAACCAAGAGAACCAATAGCAAGAACCTCAACAGCCTGCAGAACTTCAAAACTGCATTTTCTTCAGTGGTGAGCTTAAACTCCTGAGACCCCAAAGTTTCCAACCTAGCTAGCAGGGAGGGGAAGGCAGGTGCTGACAGTGCATGGGACTCCAAGGGTAGGAAGCCTGATTAAAGTTTGTGTGATTAAAACTGCTGTTTAGGTTCTAATACTGTTTGAATAGTGTATTTAATTACTGTCCTCTATATAGCTGATAGTGTTAATTTCACTGTTTGTTGCATTTACCTTTATTTTCTTGTATTTTTTTTTGTATTTAAACAGAGATTCTTTTGCCCTGAAATGCCTGTCTACTGCCTTCTTCATTTTGCATTCCCTAAATAAGTCCAGTGTCAGAACCAGGGATCTGGCAGTGATTCAAACCACCTAAAAATCAGCAAATTACTGAGTACAAACCAGAAGCCTACAATGGTGTTCAACATTTGGAAGCATAAAGATGTCTGGCACTAAGTTGGCACAGAGCTTTGCAGAAAGCTTGAACCCATTCTTTCCAGCGCTGACCGACTCAGTTTGTACACTTGTGGACCCAACCATGATCACAACTTCTACTGAAACCCAAGCAACAGACACTAAACATCTGACTATTACTGACTGCTGACAAGTGAGCTCAGCTGCTGCTGTGCAGGTTCAGACTGCTGTCATCATGGTTCTGGTTATTACTGTTCAATAGGGTTTGCATGACATTGCAGCAGTTCAGCAATCTGTCCTTCAACAGATTACTCGGATTGCCAGGGTGTTTTGCATCGTGAATCATGAACTTGGTGCCCTCTCACCTCTGTCAATGCCCTTCCTGTCACCTGTCGGTGAGTTAACCACTACACCATGGTGTCTTGGCAATCAAGTTTTCTTGGTCCAGAGCTTCTTGAGATCATGCTCCAAGGTCCAATTGGAATTTCCTCCAATGAAAATTAGGAGTCTTCTTCCAGGCATGCTTAGAATCACTGGAGTAGAACTGCATGAAAAAGAAACTAGGACAGACAACATCATGTGCAAGACCGGCTCTGAGAGAATAAGGCAATTAGTTCATCTTTTCATACAACATGTTGTGGGTTCATGCATAAATTTGGTTTAAAACATTTGTGTTTGCATTATTCTTGTGTAATGGCTATGTGAATACCGAGATGGTCAATGGCAGATGAAAAGAAAATTGTTGGATTGTTGGTAAATGGGGAATAGGGGTTCAGTGCTCATACCATGCTCAAATCAGCTTCAATCTGTGAAAAAAATTAAGTTGTCGATCCTTCTTCCTTCTCATCAAATAGCTGGCAGTATGGGCTGTCATCTGATGATGGCAAATGATGCATCGTACAGCAATCACCATGGATTCTGCAGGTACCGTAGGATGGTTCCAGTGGTGTTCTTTTAGCGCACGAATCACCCGCTCTATCATTTCATGTGTCAGCATGGTTTTATTCTATACAGACTGGAGTCACCAGCCACCTTGTCAGAGGATACTGTCGTCAACCAGTAACCACTCTTTGGGTTGTTGGCAATGTGACTGTTCCCAGGATATCGGGCAATGACCGACATAATTTCCCACCTATGGTCACACACTATCTGGATATTAAGAAGGGTGCAATCCCTTTCAGAGCTGGTATAGGACACAGTTGACACAGAGCAGCTGCAAACACAATGTGCTTACAGTCAGGGTCTGTCAAGATCAGATCTTACAAAAACAGGTAAAATTGTGAAGGAGACCCACTGTCCGTTTTTTGGACAAGATGGCTACCTGTCCACTGCTCAGAAGCGGAGTGTGATGGCTAGTGAAAGTAAGTTAGTAAACTCCGTTTTAATTTTAAGCAGGAGAGCAGAGACATCCACTCATTTTACCTTATTTAACTCACCAAGTTAAAACCACTTCAGTGTTTCTCTTAAATTATAGGCACCACTCTATTCAAGTCATTAACAACAAAAAAAAAGACTTGCTTGTCTTGTAAGTATAGGGAAGAAAATAAAAAAAAAATGCTTAGAAATTTGGAGCAATAATGACCTTGAATGGTTAGCTGTTTAGGCTATGGTCAAGGTTCAATAGTGTCTTGAGAGTTCTGAAACCTGTGTACACCTTATAGTTTCCATTTGTCTGTTGAAACACAACCACACATGTTTCATGTTATTCTTAGTTATACTTCAGGAATGTCACAGGCGTGTTTCCTCTTCATTTCAGAGCACACAGAGCCAAATTGATTTTACAGTTCAAATTGCACAACTCTTCTGGCTGCCAAGGTTTTCATAATATATCCTATAAATAAGCAATTCAAGAATGAATGACAAAAACAAACAAGTTAATACAGCAATCTATAGTATAAATTGTTCCCTGCCCCCATCAATCTACCCCTCTTGAAAAAAGTTTTAAAGAAACTTAAAAGTTGCATTTAAAAGCCAGCTAGCATAGAAAACGTCATGTTGCAAGATAGCTTTGAAAGAAATGGCTGCGTGGGTTGAACAAACATTCCTTTGATGATCTCACATTTGAAGTTGGAGGGAAAATATGAACAGAGCCACACTTTCAGAGATGTAGCAACCTTTGTACTCAAGAATCATCGGAGTCACAAGTGCCTTTTTGGATGCTCAGATTCTTGAACTAACCCATGAGATGGAGTCTCTCACTTTTCTAGGCCTGCAACAGATTTCATTCAACTGCATGTTTATCAATGCTACCATTAAGAAGCTGAATTTGCTTTGGAGATCTGACCTATAATTCCCAACTCGGAAAAAGTCCAGGGGCTTCTTGTATTCTCAGGCATTTT